TTATTTTCAGGGGATATCTTATTTTTCCATGAAGAAGAATACGGTACACATTTATTGTTTATTGTTTTATTAAAATAGACCTCGCACTTCCTGTCTGCTCCAGCTGCGCTGTGGCCAACAGTGAGCTGTGCAGTGGCGCCCGCCACTACAGTCCAAAGTCCAGAGTTATGGTAGCTTCGGGGGCCTTATTGTTGGGGAGGTTTTATTTTCGGGGGGATGCCTCATATTTCAGCGAGAGGCAAAACTGTAAGCAGGTCTTATTTTGGGGGGATGTCTTACCTTCGGGGAAACATGGTATATATCAGAAAGCAAAGAGCATTGATTCAGAAAGGCCCCAAGTCCTTTTTTATTGAATGCCTCTTGGGGCCCGTCATTACTACCTAAAAAAGAGGCACTAAAGCATCTTCCTTTCCTCTGATTACATGCTCCCCACCTTCTCCAATCCCTGGCAATTCCAGGGAGGAAGCAAAGTGGAGAAGTGAGATGGATTAGACAGGTTGACGGTTAGGCAAGACAGATGCTTCTAGTTCTGCAAGATGGTAGGACACCTCCCACCTCCTGTCCCAGCCCTGGTCATACTCACTTTACAGGGCATGCTGATGATCGCCTTCAGAAGCTTCTCCACCTCATTAAGCCTGGTTTCTATATCATGGGCATCCTTTATGGCCACCAACCCTAGATTGCGGACAGAAAGCCCAAAATTAGAAAGGAAACTAGCAAGTGTACTCACAAAATTAGGTAGAAAATAGCAGTCACCCACCAAAACAATGGGTGCAGGAATAGTTACTTAGCCCTATCTCCAAAATCCAGCTCTAAATCTCACATAACTTTTAACGACGCAATGCATGGTTTATATCTGTGCTGAAGTCAATGTTTTCTAGCTTAAAAGGAGTCTTCTGCTAGGCTAGGGCCATTGGAGTGGGGAAACGAGGTAGCTGGAAGCCCTGATACACATGCTCCACAAAGGGCCCTAACGGCATTTCCCGAGTGCCCACGGATCCAGGAAGTGAAGTCACATTTCGGCCAGTACTTTAAGTGCTGTGTTTGGATGGAAACCTGATCAGATTTGCACTCAGAGAAAACCAAGTGGGCATCAGTCAAGAGACTTTCAAGAAATCCAGGCACCTTTCCCGTTGTGGTTTCCAGAAGTCTTGACAGGCTGCAGATATGGCAGTTGAAATGCATAATGTATAGCTGCACTGCTCTAAACTGTCCTAAAGAAAAGGATAGAACCACCCCTTCCTCTTTCTCTTCTCCAGAATGTCTGGTTGCCACCACTTAGCTCTGCTTAGTGAGAAGGGATAAGAAAGAAAGAAAATACCAGAATATCAGACTCATAAAATTCATGGATTAGAATTGCTAACACTTATATGCTACAATATATAAAAATACCATATTTTGCATTACAACAGATCCTCTGCTTGCTAGAGACAAATCAGTAGGGGAAAAAAGAGACCAATTTAAAATTCTCCAGAATTTTGTTTTACAGAGAAAATAAACCATATAAATCATTTCCATAGAGAATCCAACTTGTTGTTAAGAGCCATTGAGCCAGTTCCAAATGTATCATCCTCACAATCTTTGTGTTGGAACCCATTGTTGCACCCGTCATCTCATCGAGTGTTTTCCTTTTTACGTAGACCTTCTATTTTACCAAAGCTGAAGTCTTTTTTCAGGGACAGGTGTCTCCTAATAGGAGGTGCCAAAAGGAAGTGGTCTCTGCCAAAAGGAAGTGAAATGAAAGAATATCCTGAAAGTTCTTCCCAAACATATGTTTGTTCTTCTAGCAATCCAGGGTACTTTCAATATTCTTTACCAGCTCTTTAAATCAAATGCATCCATTCTTCTCTGGTCTTCCTTAATCAGTGTCCAACTTTCACACGCAAATGAGGCGATTGGAAATACTGTGACTTAGGTCAAATACACCGTAGCCTTCAGAGTGACATCCTTGCTTGTCAACACTTTATTTATTTATTTATTTATTTATTTATTTATCTATTTATTTATTTATTTATTTATTTTGCTTGTCAACACTTTAAAGAGGTCTTGTACAGTAAATTTGCTCAATGCAATGTGTTGCTTGGTTTCTTGACTGCTGCTTCCAAGAGCATTGATTATGAATCTAAGTGAAACAAAACCCATGGGGACTACGGGTGCAGTTGTGAAGATTGTGGCTTGGTTACACTGGGATGCAATCCACTCTGAAGGCCAAAATCCTTGATCTTCATCAGCAAGTGCCTTCAGTCACTAGCAAGCAAGGCTGTATAACAATCTGCATATTGCACATTGTTAATAAGCCTTCCTCAAATTCTGAGTCCAAGTTCCTTGTCATATAGTCCAGTTTCCAGAGATCCAGAAAACCCGAGTCCAAGTTCCTTGTCATATAGTCCAGTTTCCAGAGATCCAGAAAACCCCAAAGACTACAAAAAAGAAATTTTGGAAACAATAGAGGATACAAGTAGCAA